TTGAGTTTGTTTGATGTGTCCTCAAGGTTTTTTCTCTGGGCTTTCTGCTTTCCCTGCCTCTATAAAAATCAACATGTGAGTTGAGTTCTACAATGTAAACATAGAATGTAATAGTAGTCTGTGTGGAGCTGAAGAGCCCCACACAGAGAGTGATATAGGTTTGAATTACAAAAGACATAACTTGACTAGATTTAGTCATTGGGCTGTGAGGAAAGAGGAAATGAAAAACCCTCAAAACAAGTATCATTTAACTCCAGTATTTTCCCTTTCTTGCAAGTCTCCTTCATAGTTCCCTGCGCCATCTTGAAAGGTAGCCGTGCCTTTGCATTGAAGTGAGACGAACGGTAAGCTTGCAATGATGGAGACCTTTTTTTTTATGTAAAGGCACGGCTACCTTTCAAGATGGTGCAGGGAACTGTGAAGAGGACTATTGGTATTGTTCTCAAAATCTGGCAAGTTTTGTATGACATAATGATCTTTACCACAATAAAAATGTTTTCAGAAGTTCTGATATGGTCTGGTATCAAGAAAGGTCCTCCTCGTAAACTAAAATTTCCAGAAAATTCAAAGGTCATCAATGATATAAAGGGTCATCTAGGAGATGTGTAACTTTTAAGAGTTTAAATAGAACCGTCCTTTGGTGTGAAGATTATAGACTTTTCAGACAAATATCCTATTACAAGCTTGATGCCAGTATCAATGGAATGTATGATGGCTTGGGATGTAAGGAGATGTTTATCCTATTACAAGCTTGATGCCAGTATCAATGGAACGTATGATGGTTTGTGATGTAAGGTGTTTATCATATTACAAGCTTGATGCCAGTATCAATGGAATGTATGATGGCTTGGGATGTAAGGAGATGTTTATCATATTACAAGCTTGATGCCAGTATCAATGGAATGTATGACGGCTTGTGATGTAAGGAGATGTTTATCCTATTACAAGCTTGATGCCAGTATCAATGAAACGTATGACGGCTTGTGATATAAGGTGTTATTCATATTACAAGCTTGATGCCAGTATCAATGGAATGTATGATGGCTTGTGATGTAAGGTGTTATTCATATTACAAGCTTGATGCCAGTATCAGCTGAATATGACATGCTTTGGCAGAAAAGAGCAATCAGAACATTTTTGTCATCAAAATATGACATTTCTTTATTTTCTTACACTATTTTTACATTACACTTAGCTTTGATAATTTCAGTGATGGCAAAGTTTGTAAATTCAATCTTTGGAATAATGTAAACTAGAAAAAATAAAATCATGTTTTTTAATGGTTGACAATGAAGTACAAACAGCAGCAATAATAAAATTTATGTAACTAGAAAAAATCCCTCATCAGCATGCACCATTCTTATGAAGACTGTTAACTTGTATCTGCATCACAATGCACCATGCAGATGAAATGCAGAAAGTTTGGTTAACAGTTTTCACTTGCATTACAACATGAAGGCCAAGTACCCCTATGATTTCAATAAAGGGAATTACTATTAAATTGACAGTGGATTCCACATGTTCCTCGTCAAACACAGGCCCGTCACTAGAGGTGGTTGATTGTTCAAACGAAACCCCCCCCCCCCACCTTTGTAGGAGTACGAAATAATGCTAAGCACTATTTAGGTTTCAAGAAATGACATAACTAAGATTGGTAGAAAAACGAACCTTCCCTTTCAAGATCTTAGTGGCAAAGCAAATTGACCATTATATTTTAATGTCAACTTGGACATTATGTCATATTGAAACATTGTTCACTAATATCTCTGGTTTGTCAAATAAAAGGTTTAACGATAAGAACTGTAATAAGCAAACTTAAATCTACATCAATTTTAAATAAAACAAATTGGAGATGGATTGGTGACAAAATCAGATGGTACAGAATCATTAATATGTGATTAGAATGTTCCATTATGTTAGTCTAGATCATGCTCACAATAGATTCCAGGGAAAACCATTATTTTATCCTATTTTGCTTTTGGACATCATCACAAAAACAAAAAGTTTTGGTAATGGGAGATTTTTGCTTGCACAAAAAGAGATATGGAATTGTGGTGTAATGTTAGAATACATTAGTGGGGAATGGACTATATGAACATGACCAATATTGTCAATGTATTACGAGTATTAATGACCAAAACTGACTAATATACTGGCAGCCACAGTAGTTTTACTTTGTACAAAAGAATTTAAGGAAATACATGTATAATTATTAATTCACACAAACCCTGACTTACACACAATTCATATTTTGTATCTAATTTAATTCTTTCAGACTAGATTTATATAATTATAATTATAATAATATATAGGTCATGGTTTTGTACCTTTATTTTTCTAAATGTTTTTATAAATGGTAAAAACCAGAAATCAAAGTAAAAGAACATAATTATTACTGTTTTTTTTCTTCAATGAATTAACTGAAAGCTAAGTTGAACTCTGATACTTTAAGTCCAAAAAATCGATGTTTGACTTTTTCCTGTTTAATAGTCAAATGAAGGCCAAATGATTATATTGTATACAGTCATATATATGTTGTATTCATATCACATTTCTAGAACTGGACAGCAGCTGTATAAAACCTGCTAGTCAATTGCCATTCAATTTTCCTATATTAGATTAGTATAAAAGACATCCATTCTTAGTGTCCTTCCTTTTCAATGTTGAATATCCAATGGTGAATATAAACACTGCTAACATCACAACCTGCAACAATATTGTTTATAAAAGTGTAAAAATATTGCAATCCTTACCACTCAAAGTTTTTCAATGGTCATGTTATAGAAGTAAGTAATAGAGACCATTGAAGCAAATGTCTGAAGACCCGACTCGTACTTGTACTATGTGTACATAGAGGTGATACTAACCTGTTCATGACCTGGACGCACCTGATGACGGATAGTGAGAAGTCTCCTGGAAAATTAATTCTGAAAACAACAATAACGAGGGCCAATTAAAAAAATATTGATTAAATTGCTGAACTATTGTTGAACCATGCATTACCTTTCAGACTTTCTTTTGGTAAGTCATCCAACTCTGTCTCAAACCTGAATGGTTCCTCAGCAATAGGCTATCAAAGTAAACAAGAGTATTAGTATCAACTAACAAAAAAGTGTCTGTGTCAACAGCTATACAGACCATGCCAGTATCAACTAAGTAAGTCAGGGTCTTACCTAAGTGAATTGATTTCGGGATCCAATGTACTCCTACCCTATATTTTAGGAGTCCCAGTCTAAAAAGTAAGTCTAAGGTACCTAGATTCCACTCATTCTCTCTTAGATGGCTGACATCTTAATGTTCAAGACAGGATGTTTTAATGACAAAAAGCTTTTTACATGATCAGTTCTAAGCAAAAGAAAGTATATGAGATCTTTCAGGGTCCTTTAGGATGTGGCCTATTTTTTGTTTGAGTCCCCTTCCAATTTATTTGCATATAGGATGCAAGATCCTGCATCCAGTGAAATACTGCAAGTCAGTTCATAAGATAAGTGGTTTTCAAACCAACCAATATAGGTTAATATAGGATAATACTTTACCTCATCACCAGGATCATAATACTGTTCCAGATATGGATGTGCTAATGATTCCTCAATAGTGATCCTTGTATTGGGATTGAATGTCAACATCTTGTCAATCAGATCTAGAGCTAGTAACAACATTATTGTTATTAAGTCGTAAAGGTTTTTGTAGGTTGGATTTATATTATGAAACTCAAATTGACTCATCAACCTTTAAAAATAATTTTATATTTTCCTTAGCTTTCGACCGACATGGTCATCCTCAGAGGAACTAAAATATGTTACAATATTAACAAAACCTAAGCGATCAAACGTTGTACAATTTGAGTTTCATATTATTGTTATTGTTTAAATAGCGGATCTAACACTAGTATACCATTGTAAATCCTTTGCTAACTACCAGTATTGCCAGTTATATTCACTGTCCAGTTTCCAGTCAATATTGGTTGACTATCATTATTATAAATTTTAAAAATATCTTAGATATTTTTTTGGAGATATATAACTTATATTGTCACTTGTTGTCATCAATCAAAGAATTCTGCTTAGTGGTCAATTGAATATTGTTGATTTGATTTGCTCCGAATATTATCCAAAATGTTACTAATGAAGGGACTTACAACTCAATGACATAGTTACTACACGTCTATAAAGAAGTATTAGCCACACACAAAGAAACATATACAAACCTTTTGGATTTGCATTATTAAATACTCTTGTCCAGGGAACCTTAGGCTTGAAAGGTAGAGACTCAAGATAACTGCGTGCCTAAACATAACAAGCATCATATATTGTGACAACTGTTAATCCTTAATATAAAATAGCAACACAATAGGGACTTAAAGATTAAATAAATGATCAATTCCCTAAATATGGATCAAGTCTACTGAGCTATTACACTGGTCATAAGATTGACCATATTTTTTTCAGAATTTTTTGATTGTCCATGCCCCATTCTGTTATCTTGTAAAAGTGTGAGATGCACCCACAAGTTAAAAGTGCCTGGCCATAAAAATTCAATAAAATTAAAACAAAACAAATGTTATACCTTATCATTTTTGATGCACTGGAGATCATCTTCACTTGGTGAACCAAGGATATTAAGAATGAGATTCAGTTGATCAAGATCTAATGTTGAAAAGTTGGTTAAGAAAAAACTAATATACCATAACATACATACCATAATGTACCATTTTACCATGACGTACCAACATATAATAATGTACCAAAATACATTATTACAAAACACAGAATAATGTACCAAAATACCATAACAAACCAACACAGAATAATGTACAAACATAACAACACACCAACACAGAATAATGTACAAACATAACACCACAACACACCATAACATAACACAGTATAGCATAACAGCATGATGTACCAATGTACCATAACAAACTGACATACCAAATCAACATTAACATAACACAGCATACAGCACAGATATATACAATAAACCAACATATCTTAATAAATCAAAATAACATATCATAACAAACCAACATACCATAATATAACACAGCTACTTTACATCAAAATATATTTTGGATGTCCTCAATTAAGTAAAGGATACAGTGTTTTCCAGGGAAAATTGGTCTGTTTGAGAGCATTTCTCCAAGAATACATCCAACAGACCAAATATCTATAGCCTTGCTGTAGCCTTTGGAGTTCAACATAATTTCTGGTGCTCTATACCATCTGGTAGCCACATACTCAGTCAAAAAACCAGTGTGATCATGCTCTGGGTCAGCAACTCTTGCCAAACCAAAGTCACAGATCTGGACATTTATACAGTGACAATTTGTGTTAGAAAGAAAATATACTTGAGAAGTAAAAGAAAAACTCCCTTGCTCTACAGCTCTTAATGTATCTATATTATGATTTTATATATATATAAATATAGTTTTAGTTTTAGATTATATAATTGATATCTAGTGATTTTTTTCTTACTGCATTAATTGTTTTCTTCATTTTCGAGCCATGATATCATATTATTACATTATAAATATATATATTTATAAAATATTTGAGACATAACACGCTTGCTGATTGGCTGGCTACGTTGTTTATATCAGAGGACAGAGACATGCTCGCACAAAATCATTCAAAAATGTTTTATGAAAGCGATATAAGCACCCTAACCCTAACTCTAACCTAGAGCAGAAGTCAAAGAAACTATATAGATGCATAGACATACTATATAGATCATTAACATGTACTTTTCAACACATCTCTATGAAGGCATAGGTGCCATAGCAGTGGGAATGCTTGCCTCGCACCAATGCAACCACAGGTTCAAGTCTTGCTAGATGTTGTATGTGCATAGAGTTGTTTGTTAATTCTCTCCTGTGCTTTGAGGGTTTTTCTCCTGGTTCTCCAGTTTTCTTCCCTCCACAAAAATCAACTCCTAAATTCCAATTTGATCATGAAATAAGGACCACAAGTTTGTAAGCTGCACTGGCTATTAAGCAAACATTACACACCTGTACCCTCATAAAAAGGAAGTTTTTGAAAAGCATTTATCAATAACTCCTGGTTTAATATTGCTAATTATAAAACAATAATTGAAGTAAAAATCTGTTAAAACAATAGCTATTTATAGAATAATATACATAAGCTACAACAATAATAATCACTGTATATAGATCTTTGCAGTCCAAGAACATACAGTAATAAAAGGTTTATAGAAATATCCACATACCTTAAGATCACATGTTGTGTTTAACAACAAGTTGCTCGGCTTCAAGTCTCGATGCAGAACATTAGCAGAGTGAATGTATTTGAGTCCTCTCAATATTTGATACAAGAAGTAGCATATATGATCATTGCTAAGTTTCTGCGACTTCAATAGCTTGTACATATCAGTCTCCATCAGGCTTTGTACAATATATCTGTAATTATGGTCAAGGGGCCATGAGGGGAAATTTCTACTCTTATCTTACACATAAAGCTAACTGAATGCACAAATATAATTAAAGAACAATGTCTTTTAAACTATTTTAAATTTTGTTTCAAAAGATAAAATTCTGAACGATTTTAATTCTAAAAATCCTCATTTGCCAAAGCTATAACTTTGTAATATTTTGCAATAAATAGGTTTTTCTTTGGTCCTTTTTATAGCCGAACAATCTATGCTGATTACAGTTTTAAAGATAAGAATGTTTCAATTCTTTAAAATGTTAAAAAAACCCTGAAATAATTAGAATATTATTACTTGAAATTATCACCCATAAAACAGCAAGAAAAATATTCCAAATTATTCAAGGCAAATCCCACACTCCACGGCTGTTAGTAAAGATGACATCAAAGAAAGTTAAACAGTAAATCTAATACTTAATTTTCTCCCTCAAATTACTGATTATAAAAGTTCCGCTATGTGATATAGAAGAAATAGGTACAGTACTCCCTAGAACCTTAATTTGTAGTTGAGATTTTCTTGTCTCGAGTACCAGAAATGTTTGTACTTGAAAATTATCTTGAATAGAATTGAGATTAACGAAGAAAGAATGAATGGAAAAAAGATTGGACCACCAAAAAAAATTAACGAATTAAATAAAGGAATGGATAAATTTTACGACATGTTATGTTAGCGTTGAAAAAATATAACAAAAACAGAACTGTAAGGAGAAAAATGTTGAACGGGGTAGTATAAAGTGTCTAGGATACACATCCTTCATGTCTTCAATGGTTGGGGCTCGTATGATGTCCAAAATGCCTATAATCTGAAGCAAAAACATTTAAATAAAGTCAATAAAACACAACAATCCCAAGAATGAGTACTTGAGGGCAAAATACTGTCACAAAAGGGATAAAGTTATCCATCAGAGTAAGTGCATATGGCATTTCAATCTATCGCTAACCATTTCTTGTCGTCATAATTCAAGGCTGTTCAATCTTTTAACAAACTTACATTTTCATGCTTGAATCGACGGAGGATCTTGATTTCACGTAGAGTTCGCTGGCAGTAGGTTTGATGTTCGAAAGGGCTAATCTTCTTGATAGCAACTCGCTGCCCTGTTTGGTTGTCGAGCGCCGAGCTGCAAAAAAAAACGTGTCTCTTGTTGAGTACTACGCAAACTCCCTTCATATTTCCACTGCTATTCGCACTAAATCAAAAACAATGCGACTCTTACCAGACCATTCCATAAGCTCCTTCTCCAATGTAGTTCAGATTTGAATATCTAGGTCCAACGTCGAATTGTTGTCCTCTAACAACCTCAGGAGGAGCTCGAGTATCTGTTATCCCCGCCATGTTTGTTGGTTCGCTCGTTTGACGTACTAACATGACAACGAGGCAAGGTTTATCTATCCTCTGCTCACCGCACCCTCAACCAACCACACTAACTATGCATCATGGGCTTTATTTAAACATGAGGGGAGGGGTGGATGGCTTTATAATATCCTTAATTTTAACTAATATCTTCCAATTATTCTTTATAAAAATGACTTCAAAAAGAAGAGAAGGAAGGGAGAGCGGATGGAGGGCTTTAGTATCCTCAATTTAGCTATGCATCATGGGCTTTATTAAAATATGAGGGGAGGGGTGGATGGCTTTATAATCTCCTTAATTTCAACTAATATCTTTCAATTATTCTTTAAAAAAATGACTTCAAAAAGTAGAGAAGGAAGGGAGAGTGGATAGAGGGCTCTAGTATCCTCAATTTAGGTAACACCTTCTACGCTTTTTAGAAAAGTCTTTGGGGAGGGTTGGTCTGTCTGTCTGTCTAGCATATTGTCGGTCTCAGTTTTACATCCATGCAACACAACTTATCAACTTATCAACCATGCAATGATTGTCTGTCAAAATGACGCACCGTGAGTAGAAGTTCCACCCATTATCAATATAATATCATATAAAATACTGATTACTTTTGTATTTAGTTCAGGTACATGCACATGGAGAGAACTATATGAAAATTTCCATGGGTGCGCCGGATGCATACACCTTCGATTTAAGCCTCCTTGTAAACGAAAAAGTATTTTTGACTGGATGCAAAAATGGGGGGAGGGGGAGGGGAGAGGGAGCATAAACGAAACAAGATTTTTTAAGATGTAACTTTTAAGGGCGAATCTTGGCGCTTCGAGCTCAAATACATAACGAAAATGACCTTTTTTACAAGTTTTTTTTTTGTTAACATTCAAAGATCGAAGCTGTGAGGACTTTGAGAAAGCCAAGTGATTGGAAAGCGCCTTAAATTTATTATGTCCTAACAAATCGAGGGTCATGCACTTAATTTTCGCGTCATTATTATTGGCAAAACTTATTTTTCGCGATCTTTTCGAAATCGTTATTTTCTATAGTTCTATGTAAAATAGAGATCATCAATCAATTTCTTTAAAGTAATATGGCCTATTTTTGATAGCTTTCCATATACGTCGTTTACGCGTTTTTGTAAGAAGGATGAACTTCTACGCATTCTAACGGCTAAACGAAGTTGGTGAGCCCCATTTTTATTTGTTTATTTTTCTTCTAGTATGATGTACTTTCATCATGTAAAATTATAATTTTAATTGTAACGATGATATCTTTTGCCCACATTTCATGGCATCAATACAGTGAAAATATGAAAGTGAGGGCAGATTCATTTGCTCGTAGAGTAGACTTCGCTCCATTCATTATATTTTTCTCACCACGAATAGAAACCATCACGCACAGCTGGCAATAAGGGAAAAAAGCCGGGCAAGGTGAAATAATAAAATGCGCATGCGCGCAGTGTTAGAACTGATCACATCTGACTACTTTGAAATGCGATCAAAGAATTACTGAGCTTCAAGAGAGCATATTTATGCTCCTTATCCATCCTTAATTACTAAAACATTTATTCGACGTAAAATCCATTTGGCATCATACGTCAATATCATATAATGAATCCTACATTATGTCAATCCCACAAACGAACTATAGCATGGTATCATACAAGCTGTTTTCATCTATCATCGGTATAGAACGGTCTAAACCCAGGTGAATGAATGTTGATCGAAGTATTATGATCACCCAGGTGGATGTAGTCCTGAGAAGGACTGTTTGATGGGGCTGACTTTTTTTCGTTATTCGTAATCAATAATGTATAACTGCATGTGCAAGTTGTTGTATTTATTTTTAGCAAAACCAATAAATACGTTAAAAAAATGTGCATATGAATTTTTGAGCGACAAAGTTTGTCGCTGCATTTGCATTAAAGGAAAAATGACAACGGACACTGATGAGCAAGCTCAAACACACGTACTGAAGTGTCTGACGGGCATGTTGAATAATAACGAGCCAAGCTTGTCCAATCAATCATATCAGTATGGGGATTGCAATCAACACAATCCACACTTGTATGTAGTGCTATGATCCTAAATGTATGTATAATTCATGTAAGTATAAGGGAAAGTCTTCTATTTTCCTGCCACTCTAGTGCGATTTTAATAACCAAAAAGTATTATCATGCATAACTAAGGTTGATGACATCAGTGTTTGGGAGGCACATCTGTCATGGGGTATTGCCCAGGCTGTTCGCCGTATCCTGGAGGAGCCTGTCCATGGGTGGTGGTAACTACGACTCCTGGATGTTGAACCACTACAACTCCTGTTTGTTGCTGAAAGGTAAATCACATTCAGTTACTTCAAACTGATAAATCATGGTCAACTACTCATGGTCAGCTATTCATGTTTAATTATTTTGGCTGATAGATCCAAGAGCGAAATATTATAGCAATAACAGTGGACAAATACTTACTGGGCCTTTAGCACAGCAGGTTGCCATGCAACCAATGATGGATCCAGCGAAAACAACGATCATGCACAGCCCGTTAGCAATCAATAGAGTCAAGAAGATAGCCTCGATGTCTGAAATCCATGAGCAATCTTCGACTGATACAAATCAAACAATAACATACGTATATATTAGTATCAAGTATATTAATATTACCTTCAAGTTTTCAGTATTTCAGAATGATCATCATCATTAACATCATCATTATTATTATATTGATTAATGCTGTATGGTCGTATAAAGAGATTGGAGCAAGTGCGATATACTTACGGTCCATTGGAATATCTTTGTCCCCACAGTCACATTTGCCATTTTTGATGGTGCACTGCGAAGCAATAACGGCCTTGAGGATCTGCCAGATAAGGAATCCCAGAGCAGCAATGACAGCTTGCACGATGGTACAGATGATGTCGATGATACAGAAAACCAGGAAAAAAACCATCTGAAATAATAGATAGAGGATATTTGTAAGCCACCTTTCAGTCTCTCAAGACAGGATCCTAATTACAACACTTGACGCAAACATCTTCAATGTGCTGCATTGAATATGTAGCTGTCGGCAGCAATTACAAATATAACATTATGAATAGATAGAAAAACCCTGAAAAAACCTTCTTTAATACCAAGTGACACTAGTCATCATCATCATAAGCAGCAGCAGCAGTTTGTAATCATAGTTTAAAGACGACTTACATCTTCAAGTAAAGCAAATAACAAAAATCATTTAATCTATACTACTGATACTTACGGCTGCTTTATTGAGTTTGACCCAAGAAACGATCCCAAGAATACCGGTGATCAAAAGCTGCAAAGTAAAAATCAGATAGTCAACCCAGTGCAGAAACTTAACAACCAGACAACGTTCACTGTCCCTGGTCGGCTATATAGAAAGTACACGTTACCGGGCTTAACGTAATCAGTGGTACTAATGTAAATCTAGCCTTGGTTTGTACGCTTGAAACTTGACTTTGATCTGAACAGTATTTTGAATGAGTTAAAACTGTGTTCTTTGTTATGTATTTCATGCTCTAAACCGTATCAGGTCCCCTTCGAATTGATTCCAACCCACAGCATCAGGCGCGTCATTAATGTTAAATAAGACAATAAAATTGTTAACTAGGTTTAAAACCCTCCCTTCCCCTCACACACAATAAAACTGAAAGAGCGCAAAATCTGCATTGCGACTGCGTTATCTCCATAGAAACATCATCCAAACAGGTGTCAATATTATCATATATAGTAACTGAATAATGTTTCAACGTGAATATTTGTTGTAGAAACTAGTTATTTTCAGGATCGCGTAACAGAGGCTAAGACATCATTACCGATAGGTTTTCTTTTCTGACACTAACGCACTAAATGGCTGATTTTTTTGTTCCTTTGCGGTTCACTATCTCGTGTACCGTATTCGAGTGTGCCAACAGGCCAGCCCTTCCCTTTTCATCAACAAACCTGACGTGTGTAAAACGTTTACATAGTCAGTCTTATTCCAGCCTAAGTACTTCGGGCTTCATTTTTCCCGTTAGAGCGAGGTGTTTTTTTACTTACCAGAAGACCAACCCAAATACCGCTCGCATCCTTGCCACCGTACGTTACCCAGATAATACCAGCAATCATATCAGCCAAAGCAAAAAGCAAGATGATAATGCCGACGATACCAGCAGATTTGCCATGTCCAGCTTCGATCGATGACATCCTTTATCTTTCTTTTGATTCAAATAAACCGTTGAAAATATTTTGCTAGCTAGCACCACCGACCTTAGTACTCAAAATCTGATCTTGATTATTCATTCAACCCCAGATGAGAAGCGGTCAGAACAATATTAACGAGAATCACCATGACAACACATAAAAACATAGCGTCAACATTACTGCTTCATCCAATGGAATACCAACAAAAATTATCGGACAAAGAAATCGAGAACAATAGAAAATATCCCCTTAATGAACCAACTATTGTTTGTGTTTTCTAATAACAGCAAATCGCAATAAGGTATAGTGCCACAGAGTATGTCTAAATCATTACAAAACCCTTTTTCGAAAAAAATATAGTTTGAGTGTTGCAATGTCAAATAGAAAATCATGAACATGAAAAAGCACCCTATCAATAACGTCTTCAACAACATTCATTATTTATTCAGTTATGCATCCATGTGAATCCGAAGTCGGTGAAGCTATTGAAATGATAATTCTATCAAACAAAGGGAGGTATCTCGCTTTTGATCGAATACAGTGTAGAAGATGAATACATCGAATCTGGATTACTGGAAGCATTCACTTTTCATCCTCATGTAAATGTTACTAATAATAAAATCAGTAGTGGTCGTCATGAAAAAGGACCTATTTACCAGGTTTAATAGTTCCTGTCATCATTTTAGTGATTCTCTTTGATAAATGTTTTTATTTAGAATTTTGTCTCATGTAGTGCAATAAACTATTGATGGTGTTAGAACTAAGGTGATTGGTTGAACAAAATATGACGTATACCAAAGTCCTTAGGGATGGATCAGATTGACGCTAATTTCATCAGGCCCTGTCGTCGAATGAATAACATTTAGAGCCTGCTTATTGTCAGTCTTTGTGAACCGGTTAAGAACAATTAAACAATCCCTAATACCATCCATAGTGGATACTCATCAAAGACTCTTCCTAGTCGACAATTCTATTAATACTTGCACTATGTACTCAGTCAATTCTGTTTGTTAGCAGGAATGAAAGGTATTTGACATACTCATAAAAGCCCTTACAATATCTAATGTCGGTGGTGGTAGAAATAACGGAAATTTGGGCAGTGATCTCTCAGTTGACGTCATCATCATAATCATGGATTGATGTTTCGTTCAATGGATTAGTGTCACTGACTACACAAATACTAAAAAACAAACACCACCATAAGCCCCAGAGACCACGAAGGATCTGATGAACGAGATCATAAAAAGTTAAGCTGACCCAACTGTCGTAATACGTGTAGTACGTATGAATCAAGGGTGAAAAAGAAAGTCTTGGTTTGACCAGCCTTTACGACTCAATATAGCATATTCCACAATAAAATAGTATGCTCTCATATTGATAGTTGCAAGCATTCTCAAGAAAGTCAAAATACATGGCGGCCATTGTGGTGCCGTTAAAGTGCCACTACAATGAAATTTTGATGTATCTAATATCATACTGTTTAAAAGCATGTTAAGTAATTTGCAAAAGAAGAACACTGGCGTTTTTCTTTTCTTGTTAGCATTTTTGGTTCGCGAGATATTAAAGTTTTTAGTTTATGCTAATCTGGAGGTTGATGACATTATATTCTCAACCCACAGTTTCCTTCAACTTAGATTTCAGTATATCTCTGAGAGTATTTGATGAATGACATCCAAACTTTGTAGTATACTTGTATACAGAAGAAGATATAACTAGCTAAAAATTAGTGTGAGCTGCGCCGGTGTTTCTAATGAAACAATGATGAAAAGGTAATTATACACGCCGTGAAAAGATGAAAAAACTTACTGACGTTTCGGACGCTAGTCCTTCGTCGGAGTAAAAGAGCCGAAACTAGCGTCCGAAACGTCAGTAAGTTTTTTCATCTTTTCACGCGGTGTATAATTTACCTTTTCATCATTATTGTATACAGAAGAGATAACTAGCTAAAAACTAGTGTGAGCTGGGTCGCTGTTTCTAATGAAACAGTAATGATAAAAGGGTGAATCATACACCGTGAAAAGTGGGAGTATCTTTTACTCCGACGAAGGACTAGCGTCCGAAACGCCAGTTTTTTCATCCTTTCACGGCGTAAAATTTACCCTTTTATCATTATACTTGTATACAGTATAATATGAAACATAAAAATGCACAAACTGTGGTTGCTATGGCAACACACTGGTGTCCATGCCCCTAACAACAATTTAAGCCTTTCAGCGACTCCTAGACGAACATCCTCCTTCGAGGATGATCAAAGTTCATGGAAGAGCCAATCCTTTTGTGACAGAACAACGGACTAAAGATCCACTTGCCTGGAATGCTTTCAAAAACTTTAACCGAGAAGTTAAGAGAGAAATAGGAATGGAAGAAACGAGGCATGTATTGGAGCACATCCCGGGGGTTGGGGGGGGGGGGGG